CGGGGGCCATCAGCTCCAGGGTGCATGGAGCGGCAGGGAGAGTTTGCTGGAGCAGCACAGCCACATGCCCGGTGAAACAGGATGGCCAGGAGGGCATTTTGGGGAGGATGGGTGCTAAGGGTGCACCCAAGGTGAGCGCATCCTGGCACCCAGCACTGCCGGCACCCTCGCCCCGCAGGGAGGAGGATGGGGGCCCATACCCAGCAGGCGTAGGGTGCCCCCGACGCTCGTGCACACCCTGCGTGTCATCAGTGGCACCAGCGTCCCCAGCAGCTTGAAGTCACCGACGTAGAAGAAGAAGGCATCGGTGGGCATCGAGGCCACACGAATCAGCTCCTTGTGGTCAGCGTTCTTGATCCCTGGCAGGGATGGAGAGAGCGGGTGAGATCAGGGACCCTGAACTCGGCGGGATACCTCCTCACCCAGCACTGAAGCCTCGCTCACCCACGGCAAAGACCTTGATGCCCTGACTCTTCAGCTTTGCTGCCGGCCCCTCGGCATCATCCTGGGACTTGCCATCCGTGATGAGGATGCAGATCTGCGGGGCCAGGCGAGAGCCGTGAGACCCAGCCCGGTGCCCACAGACCCACCACATCCCCACCCCAGGTGTCCCCAGGGCTACCGCCCTGCACGTACCTGGGGGACCCCAGGCCGGAGCTGCGTGGGGCCGAAGAACTTGTCAGCAACATAGCGGAAGCCGGCACCAGTCCGTGTGTTGCCACCCTTGTAGCTCAGCTGCTGGATGGCCCTCCGGACGCTTGTGCCATCGGTGTGCTGGGAGAAGGGGAACTCCACCCTAGGGGGCATGGGGGGACATGTCACCTCATAGCCCTGCCACCACGCCACCCCGCATGCCCCCTCCCCAGGGCTCACCGCGGCTCATCACTGTACTGCGCCACGGCGAAGCGCACCGCCTTCTCACCCACCACCTGCACAAAGGGCCCCACCAGGTCGTCCATGAAGGTGCGGACGGCACGGAAGTTGTTCCTGCCGATGCTGGACGAGCCGTCCACCAGGAAGACAATGTCGGCCTCCAACACATCCTCGCACACCGCTGTGGGGCGGTGACAGCGCTCAGGGCACGGACTGGCACCACGGCATGGTGGTGCTGGGCCCCTCTCACTGTCCCCCCCTACGTGCACCCAATGCTCAGCACCCACCTTGGTTCCTCTTCTGCGCCATGGCAGCCGGGGGGCCCAGGAGCGCAGGGAGCATGGCGAGGAGCAGGAGCCGGCCACTCATCGTGGGAGCCTGTGGGAGAGGATGCTGCCACCAACGCCCTACAGCAGCCCCATGCCTCTGGGGAGAGCGGTGACAGAGCGGCAGGGCCCGGGAGGTCCCAGCACCATGCCATGCCAGGACGCCTGGCAGCCTCGTGGGGGCAAGGTGCCAGCACCGCCCTGGGCACCACTGCTGGCACCCCACGGCGCTGGGGAGAGCCCCCGCTTTGGGCCGGGGCAGGGAGGCAGCGGAGCCGTGCCCG